TAGAAGAATAATGGGAGGAAGTACTGTTATGCAAAAAGGGTAATACGTACATGGAATGGTCTACAAGTGCAATTACTGGTCATTTTAGTTAGCTGTTGGTTTATGTACAGTATTCGATTGTGACAGTTCAATACGTCTGTTCACCTCTATAATCTATACAATCTACTAAAGTCCATTTGCTTTAGATAGAATAACCAAATATGGGCTTGCAGTGCCTTTTAGTGGTGATTTATCAAATTACAATTGCAGGTACACAAATAATAAAAATATGTTTGCATATCTGCTTAGCAGAAGCTGAGAGAGGGGTGTGGGTGTTTACTGCGGACTACCATCTTAAAAAGGACCATAAATGCCACCACATCACGAGAAAGCATACTGGGCTCATTTTTGTGCTTATTGGTAAATAGCAGCTGTTAAGCATCATTAATTACAACAAGTGGCTAATCATTGCAGCTGAAAACATACGAACAGGATTCAGCGGTTCAATCCTGTTTTTAAAAATCCATACTTTACTCAAGTCACACATTTTCTTTTCATTGCTATAGCAACTATACCAGAATCCAGTAAGCTGCACTAAGTTCAGCACACTTTACCTGCAGTTGTATTAGCAAGTTGCAAGAGTTTATTCACTAAACAGTGAAATCTACTATATTGAAAATCAAACTGCAAATTGTAGGCAAAAGCAATTAACAGCTTAATAGACTTTAATGCATAAATGTACGTAGATGTGGAATGTCTTTATTCCTCTAGGATGTATTAGGAGTTTTCAGATACTAACTTATCCTTTAAAACTTTACCATATCATGAAGATGGCTTCCAAAGATGAACTACTAAGGAGATGCCTGAGACAACAACATATAAAGTATGCAGAGAAGGAGGAAGGTCCATGGCAAGATAAACCTCTCCATGGGGTGTACCGCCAGCAGATAGTGGATGTGGCTCACATAACAAAATCCTAGCTATCTTTGCTACATGTGAGTATACAGAGTTAGAGGTTCTATTTCAACTGTCAAAAGTAAAGACAAATAAGTCGATGGGGCCTGATGGAATACACCCAAAGTTATTAAAATAACTTAGTGGTGTACTAGCAAAACCATTTACAGATTTATTTAACCAATCATTGTTAACAGGAGTAGTCCCAGAAGATTAGCAGATGTTGTACCCATTCACAAAAAAAGGTAGTAGGAAGGAGTCGGGCAACTATAGGCCCATAAGCCTTACTTCAGTAGTAGGGGAAACCATGTTAAAGGATAGGATTGTTGAAAATCTAAAATCACATGGATTTCAAGATCAGAGACAACATGGGTTTACTTCAGGGAGATCATGCCAAACTAATCTTATTGATTTCAGTAAGGCTTTTGACACTGTTGCACATAGAAGGCTTATCAAACTGCAATCTTTAAGTTTGGATTCCAATATTGTTGAATGGGTAAGGCAGTGGCTGAGTGACAGGCAACAGAGGGTTGTAGTCAATGCAGTATATTGGAAGCAAGATCTAGTTAGTAGGGTACCTCAGGGATCTGTACTTGGACCCATTCTCTTTAATATTTTTATTAGTGATATTGCAGAAGGTCTTGATGGTAAGGTATGTCTTTTTGCTGATGATACGAAGATTTGCAACAGGGTTGATGTTCCAGGAGGGATAAGCCAAATGGCAAATGATTTAGGGCAAATCCAGTTTTTTTTTGTTTAACCCCCCCTCCCGACTCCATTACATCTAATTGTCCCCCTAGTCACCTCCCAAAGGCCCTTGTTTTTCCATCTTTATTTTCTGCCCAGACCTACGTCCTGGGCACTGCCATCTTTGTGTGGGTAGATGAAGTCCCTGTGAGACACGTCATCTGCCCACACTAGAGAGCGCTGTGAAATTCCTGCGCATGCCTAGTTAAAGGACCACTATAGTGCCAGGAAAACATACTTGTTTTCCTGGCACCACCCTCAGGGTCCCCCTCCCGCCCGGCTCTGGAAGGGGGAAAGGGGTTAAAACTTACCCTTTTCCAGCGCTGGGTGGGGAGCTCTCCTCCTCCGATCCTCCTCTTCTCCTCCCCGTCGGCTGAATGCGCACGCGCGGCAAGAGCTGCGCGCGCATTGAGCCGGTCACATAGGAAAGCATTCATAATGCTTTCCTATGGACGCTAGCGATGCTCTCACTGTGAAAATCACAGTGAAAGAATTCATAATCTTTCTATGGGCGCTTTGCTCTCACTGTGAAAATCACGCGCATAGCGCCTCTAGCGCTGTCAATGAGACAGCCACTAGAGGAAATAGGGGAAGGCTTAACCCATTTTTTCATAAACATAGCAGTTTCTCTGAAACTGCTATGTTTATGAAAAAATGGGTTAACCCTAGAAGGACCTGACACCCAGACCACTTCATTAAGCTGAAGTGGTCTGGGTGCCTAGAGTGGTCCTTTAAACACCGGGGTATTCGAATGGGAATTTCGTCCATTCATTCATCAGAAAGATGAAGGAATGAGTAGAAATGTTAGATGAAGAAACAAACACAAATCGGTTTTCGTTTGTTTGTTCGTTTAGTTTATTACAAGCAGCTCTCTCCCCACCACTTCCTAAGCCTCTCCATGTCTTCCCTCACTTTATGGGGGTAATATGACCCCCATATTAGCATAAGGGAGATTGAAATCTCCTGAATGCCCCTACTCGCTATGCCTGTGGCTGCTCATTGTTGTAAAAATAACCCACCCCCCTCCAACAAGTGGTCCCATGGTGGGGCATCTATTAACTAGCGGGGTGGACAATGTCCCCCCCCCATGGCCCGCAAGTGGGGGCTCTTCAACTAAACAGGGGGCTATTCAACTAAAAGGGGGACCTATTGCCCCCCCCGCACCCTCTATGAGCGGCGGGTGGGGTCCCTAAATTACAATAGGGGGGGACAATAGTTCCCCCCCTATTGTAATTTAGGGCCCCCACCCACCGCACATTCATGGGTGGGGGGACAATAGGTCCCCTCTTCAATTTAAGAGCCCCCACTCTCACGGCATGGGTGGGGAATACTAGGGTTTTTTTTTTCGTTTTTTTAACAGAGCCGCCACTGGCGGCTCACTGTTTAGCAGACATGCTCCTACTCGCAATATAGCGAGTAGGGCCAGAATTTACGAATACGTAGTAATTTTACTTAGTATTAGTAAATATGGCTGAAAAAACAGTTTAGGTCTTTCTGCCTTTTGGTAGATAGCTCCCTAATACCATGGGAATTAGGGAGTTATCTACTTATTCATTCCTGTCATTCCATTGACTGGCCAAGTAACTTACATTTTATATGAATGTATGTTCCTTGATTGTTGTAAGTGTTGCAAATGCTTACAGCTGAATCCTGCCTATGTTTGTATACTTTTTATTTAAACTTGTATACAATGTAACATTCTTCTTCTTCCGCTGGGTAAGTATATTACTACTTGAGCAATACAATGCTTCGGAACTTCGGCAACTTTGGAAATTCTGTCATTTTGGAACTTCGGGACCTCAGCAATTCGGCTATTCGGAAGTACCCAAATCTCCGAATTGCCCGAAATTCATCCGAATTCATATTCGGACCGAAACGAATTGCACATGTCTATTAATAAATACAACAGCATTCCTATATTACAGTCCAAGCCTCTTCCGTATCTTGCTACATGCACTCTTGCTCTTTTTAAAGGCAGTGTAGAGGCCCTCTGCCGAGCAGGCTCTCCATCGCAGAGCTCTCCCATATACCAGTCCATATGCCAGAGAAAATGTATACTTACTGAGTAATCAGTGGCTGGGTTCCCACTCAACTTCACAGGTTTTACTTTCTCCAGTTCCTCCAAGGCTGAAGCCTCTGCTTCATCTCTGGTACAGTAGCAGAACAACCAAGGTTTTAGCGGAAACCCTGGAGTTCCACCTGTTAAGGGAGTCCCCTTACAAAACTGTTGTAGTATAGTGCCAATTCTGCAATATACAAAATAACACTATAGTCACCAGTACCACTGCAGCTTACTGTAGTTGTCCTGGTGTCAAAGGCCTGTCCCTGCAGGCTTTTATTATTATTATTATTATTATGGTATTTATATAGCACCGTCAAATTCCACAGCGCTTTACAATGGGTGGACGAACAGACATGTAGTTGTAACCAGACAAGTTGGACACACAGGAACAGAGGGGTTGAGGGCCCTGCTTTTAAATGTCATTGTTTACTAGAGGTGCTTCTTTTAAGCCTTTGCTGCACATTTTACTTTTCTTTTAAATTTTTTTTATGCCTCCGGACAAGATTTCACTGCTGGCTTTATACCTAATCCCTAATGTCTATATCTAACCTAGTTTTCTCTCTCTAACACCTATTACTCTAAACCTAACCTGAAATACTATTTCTCACTTAAAATTCAAATCTACTTCTACACATACATTTAAATATGATCCCTTACCTAAACTATCTCTACGCATATCATATGCCTCTATTCTCCTATATCATATTTTTCTATCTCCTCTATTTCATATTGTATCAATATATACTCCCGATCTCATATCTCTCAATTTCATCTACCCTGACAATTCCTCAATTTTTACTCCCTCCATATTTTTCCATTTCACCATCCCATCCCCTATCATTTTTGTAGTCCCACATTTGCCCTGGTGGTCTAGCGACAATGTGCTGTTAATGTGCCAACACAAATTAGCCAGAAGAGCCTTACTGACAAGATAATTTAGTGGATGAGCTGTAAAAATAGTTCAGTTTAATAATTCTTTTCATAGTTGAATATTTTGGTTGGAAAATTCCAGGTCAGTTCTTGAGAATTCCTGGTTAAGTGAATAACCCTGCAAATATTTTGTTTGTAAAGTGAAAAAACTATAGAAAAGTATGTAAAAAGGATGATACATATATAGTCTAATTAAAATACTTGGATGCAAGGACTCAATTTCTATAAAACTCCAGGGATAGATTCATAGTTCGGCTGGATAGAAAATAATTACAATTCTTGGTTGTGAAAAAAATATATATATGCAAAAGGACCATGAAGAGGTTTGAGAAATCTTTTAATTTATCAATAACATCCATATACAAATTATTAAAGGAAAAACAATCAGTCTGTGAAGATAACATTTCCAGAAATAACCATCCCTTTTTGCTGACATGAATATTAAAGGGACACTATAGTCACCTGAACAACTTTAGCTTAATGAAGCAGTTTTGGTGTATAGAACATGCCCCTGCAGCCTCACTGCTCAATCCTCTGCCATTTAGGAGTTAAATCCCTTTGTTTATGAATCCTAGTCACACCTCCCTGCATGTGACTTGCACAGCCTTCCATAAACACTTCCTGTAAAGAGTGCCTTATTTAGGCTTTCTTTATTGCAAGTTCTGTTTAATTAAGATTTTCTTATCCCTTGCTATGTTAATAGCTTGCTAGACCCTACAAGAGCCTCCTGTATGTGATTAAAGTTCAATTTAGAGATTGAGATACAGTTATTTAAGGTAAATTACATCTGTTTGAAAGCGAAACCAGTTTTTATTTTCATACAGGCTCTGTCAATCATAGCCAGGGGAGGTGTGGGTAGGGCTGCATAAACAGAAACAAAGTGATTTAACTCCTAAATGACAGTGAATTGAGCAGTGAAATTGCAGGGGAATGATCTATACACTAAAACTGCTTTATTTAGCTAAAGTAATTTAGGTCACTATAGTGTTCCTTTAAAGTAAGTTTGGTATTTCCATTCAACACAAAAAGTGTAAAATTAAGGGAAAACTCCAAGCACCATAAACACTACAGCACACTGCACTGCACCCTCTAATAATTTTCTAACCATTTGACTTCTTCCTGAGGTCTGCTGAGTACCACTCGTTTCTTTAATGAGAGCTGCATGGCGGTGCCATCAAATGATGCTCTCGGTCAATGAGCTGGGCGTAGCTCAGAAGAACTTACAGAAGGTTCTAGAATGAATTTCTGGCTGGAAACGAACCCCAGGTAAGAAGTTAATTTATTAGCAAACAGTTTGACTACTTTTATTGGTGTTGTGCAAGGGCATTCCTAGCAGCATAACCACTACAGTATGCTGTAGTAGTTATGGTGTTTGGAGGTTTCTTAGAAAAAAATAAAATAGAAACCTACATTTACATTTTTGCAGTTTTCACAATTAATTCTTTCAGCTGGGAGCAGTACTACGCATGCAGAGTGACCATTGCTGTGCCTGTTTAGGAGCAGATTATTTCCCCCTCCTCATTTTTGCAGCTTTAAATGTGTCCACCTTTAAGGAGCTCAAGCTCCAATCCATGGTGGCAAGGGGGTTTTAGAACTGCACTGCTGGGCTTAGTTCAGTGCAAAGATTTTTTGTAGGCAGAGAATGCGGCAAATGGCATCAAGCACACAACAGGTAAGTTGTCAAACTATTCTCAAAAAGATTGACTACTTCCCGTGGGAGGATGCCAAGGCAGTATTACAGTGGAGGATGCCAGGGCAGTATTACAGTGGAGGATGCCAAGGCAGTATTACAGTGGTACTCCACTTTGTTTTGTTTACAAAAATGGCTGAATACCATAGACAATGTTGCCACCAAAAGATATAGTGCGTTTTGGTGAGATTTATTATTATTATTTTTTTTAACCTTAGCTTTGCCTGAGTAATGACTGAGTAATGACTGTGTTCAATTGTGAGTTTAGACAATATACACTGGCTCAGGAAGGCCTACATACTGTTTTAGTAAGAGAGGCTTCTGTTTAAGCTCAGCCTCACAAGTATATTATCTCCAGAAATATGACCACAGCGGATTTTGTGTGTTTTATTTCACGTGGCATCACATTTTGGTTGCGTTTTAAGAACGTTGCATGCTTGTAACTGCAGAACTGGATAAGATAGTACTACAAGTATCGTATCTTGAGTAATACATACCAGTATTTTTCTCACAATTGGTTCGACAATAGAAACATGGCCACCATAGGTGGTGTACAGGTGTCACTCAAGTAATGAATCTATCCATCTAAAGGCACAGCAATGGGCCACACTGCACCCAGGGTTTTTGCAGTCACCTCAAGATCTGACTTTTGACAGGACTAATGCCTCAAGTGGATCAACTGGCACACCTTGACATAATATAAATATATATAATTCAGTACCTGCAAATTATTTTATAATATATATATATATATATCTCAATTAAGCCATTGCGTTTATGTGACACAATCAATCAGAGGACCTCGCTGCTTCTCGTCTTGCATATTTTGTCTCCCAGAATGAGCTCTACATAGACACCTAGTTGTTTAACACAATTTTAACAAGTAGATAAATTAAATAAATGACAAATAACCTCATTTTATATAAGAAGTATAAAGTTTGGCATGCTGTGCATCAGGAAGCAAAATTCTCAGGCTTATCCTTATTTGATTTCACAGTATGTTGTGCATATTTCAAACACTGCAGCTTAGTATAGCCAATACAACAGCTCCATATAGAATTCAGATACAAATCAATTGGTCAGTATTGTCTGCACATTTTAGAACAGTTCATCTTAAGTTCATTTTTTTTTACTTGGACGGCGTTGAAGAGCTGTTGCATGGCTAGACTTTTTTGCCAGTGATCTCAGAGGTTTTATAAAGAATTACAGTACTTGGTGTAGTACATTTGGAATTACTAAAAAAAAAAAAATTAAAAATTAAAAAAACTATTTTGCAAACATTCATTGCATACAACAATTTGCATTTGTTAAAGAGCTACTGAGTGACTTTTTTTTTTCTTTACATTTGTTTTTTAGGTGGGAATAGGTTACGCATATTACTGCTTATTATGCATCAATGTCATTTAGACCTGGTCCTTGATACAGTTTGCCAACATACAGGCAGTAATTACTAAAGTAAGAAGTGTCAGAAATTCTAAATGAATTTAATATTTTAAACCAGAAAAGCCAAATCGGAAAAATTTGCAAAGCCCAAGCTTTTCCCAGATCAGCTATTTTGGACTAAATTTGAAATTCACATTGAATTCCCAGTGGTTCACACTTTATTGAATAACCCTGTAGTTCTTTCAGCAGCCAACAGAAAATCACAATAACATCATAATGACACCAAAGGGGTAAAGTGTGAATAAAGGCTCTATACTCTACAGACACCCTATAGACACTTCACTTATATGACATACTGCAGTACGGCCAGCTTCCATCAGTACACATACTTCTACCATTTTTACAAAGTACCCTAATCTTTCCCACTGCAAACTCACTGTCCGCGTTCATGATCTTACGTGTAAAAATCCACTTGTCTACTCTGCACTTACCCAGCGTTATACATGGTATGTTGGTTCTGGTGCCGAATGGAATGTAGATAGATATATGGGGTAAAAATATGCCATTTTTCAAAATTGTAGCAATTTTGTACACATTAAAAATCAATAAGATATGGCGTTAAATTCCTGTGTTGTACATTTATCTAAGGTGACTTTTTCTAAATCTATTAACAACATTTTAAATGAACCCCATCCATCCAGATATTTTTTTCTGCAATGCTACAGTTGTCAAAGAGTTTTGTTTTTTTCTGGCACTTATTTTACATGTATGTGCAAATATCCCGTGATATTTTACATACTCCTGCAGTCGCTCCTATAGTTCTTTGCTTAATTTTCCAACAGAAAATTTATAACTGGCTAGAACTACAAGTTATTATCTAATATACCCCCTTCCCACTACTGACATTTAATATAACAGTTCTTTACGAATATTGTGTGTTTTCATCAACAGGAAGAACAGATATCTAATATTTAGTGTCGTGCACAAGATTGTGAGTCGGTAATCACAAGGTTTTGATTACAGCTGCCTATGGAGGCATACATGTCTGCGTCGTGAACAGACTCCTGTGAGTTGAGCAATATACTTTACCTTGAGTGAGTATTGGTTATTCGGCCATATATTTACCAAAGACCACTCGTGACCTTTATGATCAGGGTCCATGAAACTTTGCCAATTGGGCCTTTTTGTAGCTCAGTCAAACATTCTAGTGATCATTATGTCCACTAGGAACTAAATGGCATTCCTAAATGTTCTACAATTCCCTTGAGGATCTCAGAGTTTCCAAAGAACTGCATTGTACCCTCGGCTTCCTGAATATTAATCTTGCTTTTTGTGGTTTTCCCCGTCTTTCGACGTAGATGAGAAGTCCACTATTAGTTTAGCAGTTTTTCTGGGTCTCTCCATAACCACTGAGTGTCCACAGTTTTCTAGTATTTCCACCTGGCTTCCAGGTATCGAACTCGACAAAACATCAGCTCCGGAAACATCCAGCACCTGAATTAAAGTTAAAAACAAAGTATATTAACTGGTTCCTCTCTGACAGAATACAGTATCAGAAGGGTGAAGATCCTTACCTGATCCTGCTTGCCCCATATTATTTGGGTAGGAGCTTTGATTTTAGCCATTTGCTCATGTAGACTGTAACGTGAATTCTCCCCGACTATGTCTAAAAACACTGAAAGAGTAAAATGGATTAGAAACTACACTACATTGTATATTAATCAGAAAATGTGCCTATGGGATATTTTAGCATATTTAGCATTATGGGATATTTTAGATTTTAGCAGATAGTCGTTTTTAACCTTTTTTGACGCAAACCCCCATTATGCAAAGGTTGCTATACCTAAAAGACTAAAAATAATTATAAAAAAAGAGAACACGGTATTTCTCAAATGACTATATCTACTTTATGTAAGTTTTGTTAACAAGAAGTACACCGTTTTCAAAAAACGCACGTGGCACTAGAAAATACATAAAAATTATGAATAAACCAGCATAATTCAAAACAAACACTTTGTTGGTTCATAGAACAGTTTACGATGTATGTTAAAATGCATCCCTATTCTGTTTAATCAAAGTCAAATACTCTCATCTATTATGCATACCCATATTAAAATATTGATTTAAGCTGTGTTTGTGTTGTACATTGGAAACCCAATATTGTACTTCCTGGACTACATATATTATCCTATGTATTACTTACAGTTTATCTCATATATCTTAACTTACATTTTCTGTAAAATTCATTGTGAGGAATGCGTACGTCGACAAGGCCCTGCAAAACCTGTAGAAATACAGTTAAAGTACAACAATACAGTTTACCATAGAGAAGATAAAGATTATTTATCAATATAAAATACTGCATATTTGGTACAAAGAGGTATATAAGATGCAAAGTAAGGCATACATTTCTCTGAACACTTTGTTTCAAAGTTTTGTGTTGCTTTTGCAGTCAAAATAAAACAAACTTCAGTTATATCACGTACACTTATCCTACTTTCAATTCAGGATTACAAGTTAGTTGGTTGTTTACAAACACAAAGATAAAGCACCGCGCTTACAGCAGCAGTAGCTTAGTATCCAACAGCTTAAAATACATAGTAAAACCAAAGAGAACGTTACTTGCGCTCTGGCCTAAATCCCTATGTACATTTAAACAAAATGGAGGCTCTTTAGTTTTATTCCCATGGTCATTTGAATATAAGCTCACCTGCCACGTCAAGCCCCAAAAGGCGAGTTCTACACTAGCAATTAAATTTGCTGATATCAACTGATATTACAGTTGCTTTCTGTAATTGTTTTTGTTTGTTTTTTTTATCTTTATTTTTGCACAGTGAGACATGAGTTTGGCAGAATCAAGAGACAAAGACGTATAGAGAATTCAAGGTATACGAAAGCAGTGGTAAACATACACATATCACACTGTGGTTTTTATATAAAAGCGTTGTCACATTACCCTAAGGCGTGGAGGTGGGGGGTGGTATATGGGCAATAGACAGTCGGGCTGATCCAGGCATGTGTTTATTGCCTACGCTACATGTAGTAATGGAATGTTAAACCTAAGAAGCTATTGGAAGTAGAACTAATAAACAATTCTTTTTTTTTTAGATGGGCTACCCTGACTTATTCCAGCTAGGGTTCAGGTCGTGACTGTGGTATAAGAATCCGAAGTGGACAGTCTAGGCACAAACTCTGGAGTGTTTGCTGGGTTCCAGCCACGAGAACCCGTGGGCGCTGCAGCCTGTTTGGGTGGACCAAGCGAATCAAATGGAAGGCCCAGGTTTTGTGAGTCGACGCGGCTCCTTCAGGATTGTGTATTGTATACATTGTGTCCCCCTGGAAGACTATCAAGGGGCGCGAAAGGCTACAGCGGTAGCGGATGTTGTGCTTACGCATAATGGAGGTAAGTGATCAAAGAAACTGTCTGCTTTCTGTAATTTCTTTTAATCTCAATGAAGAAAGGAGCAGATTAGATGTAAAAATAAAATATATTTTTAACATTAGTGTTCCTTTAACAAATTTGTCAGGTACACTAAAATGAACAAGCATACCAAACATCTGCTGCCTACAGTAACATTTTACAGTCCTCTATTATTCCAAAAAGGGGTGACCTGAAGGATGCCTACATATTGCTCATTAACCCTTTAAAATCAAGTTTTGTTTCCTGAATTCAAAATTTGGGAAATCTATCTTGGGCGCAGCAATTCTGAAAAATCATATTTCTGTAATTCTCCCAGAACACTCTGCTGCACATGAAATCACATTTCTAGATTTCATTGTGTACTTCTGCAGGCAGCCTTAGCAATAAAGTACGGTTTTAAAATAAAAAAGAAGCTATTTAAACCAAAGCACCAAAGACCACCAACTAACCGTGGACTGTACAGTTTTGACCTCTTGAGTCAATAATAAATGGATCTATTTTTCATGTCCATAAATAGCAATTTATTTAATTTAATGAAATCACAACAATTCCTCTGTTGATCTCTGTTTAACAGGCCTGTTTAACGGATTTGTTTTCCTGGCACTGGAGAGTCCCTTCCCTTTAATTAAAGAAGTTAAGGTCTTGATTGTTTTGAAACATTAAAATATTGTATTAAAGAACCAGTATAGGCACCCAGACCACTTCAGCTTAATGAAGTGGTCTGGGGGCCAGGTCCATCTAGGGTTAACCCTGCCTGCTGTAAACATAGCAGTTTCAGAGAAACTGTTTTCGAGTTTGTTTTCCTGGCACTATAGTGGTCCTTTAACGACAAAGCAGGCTGTGAAACACAAACAAGATTTTTCACAAGTGGGAATTGTTGAGAATTAAAAGTACATATTACATTTTACGTCGGAATAGCTACATTGGAAACAGTCTCCAAATAAACAATGTCTTTATTTTGGCTATTTTGACCGAAATCAATAGCACTGCAAGTGATAACATTGTCACGCTAATATGAAAAAGCAAATGAATCCTACTCTAATCTATCCTAAATGGCTACCTGTGTCTTACCTGCCGTGGAATTTTAAATCGCACGTAGGAGCAGAGCTTCAGCATTTCCCCCATTTCTTCTGCCGTTGATGGAATGAGAGGGATTTTCTGTGTATCGCCTGATTCTTTCAGTTGTTTCAGGAATTTACTATCATTTGGATACTGAAGGCCTATAGATTAGAATAAGAAAGCAATATGAATACAATAGTGTTCTTGAACCACAGTAAGGTCTGTCTGTAAATCATTTTTCATTGACTTAGTTTAACCAGCCACTAGATGAGAGGAAAAACAAATAAAACACAAACAATGCCCATACCTCACTCAAAGTGAGCAAGAAAATGACATCATCCATTTAACCTATTCATAGCCAGTTTGTTCAATGAAAAGAGTTGAAGGATTACTCCAAGAATGCCAACAACTACAGACCACCATCGTGGTTATGATCCCAGGAGTTCTGTGGCCCCATGTCCTGCTAATGGGGCAAACCGTTTTGTAATAGTCTGCCCCCTTACCTGGTCCAACCCCGCACCTGGTCTACTTTAAAGGACCACTCTAGGCACCCAGACCACTTCAGCTTAATGAAGTGGTCTGGGTGCCTGGTCCAGCTAGGGTTAACCCATTTTTTCATAAACATAGCAGTTTGGTTTCAGAGAAACTGCTATGTTTATGAATGGGTTAAGCCTTCCCCTATTTCCTCTAGCGGCTGTCTCATTGACAGCCGCTAGAGGCACTTGCGTGCTTCTCACTGTGATTTTCATTTATGTGACCGGCTGAATGCGCGCGCTCTTGCTGCGAATGCGCATTCAGCCGACGGGGAGGATCGGAGGAGGAGAGCTCCCCGCCCAGCACTGGAAAAAAGTAAGTTTTAACCCCTTTCCCCCTTCCAGAGCCGGGCGGGAGGGGGTCCCGGAGGGTGGGGGCACCCTCAGGGCACTATAGTGCCAGGAAAACGAGTATGTTTTCCTGGCACTATAGTGGTCCTTTAAGGCTGGATGTGACAGGCATCCAGCTTCTGCAAAATATACACAGAATTGACATTAGCCAGCCTGGAACTTTTCTGGTTCTAGACTGGCCCATGACACCGTAGTGATGCTGCTGGAGGTGGAGTTACATCCAGCAGCAGAGGTGATGACAACTTCAAATTACTTTAGAGGCCATGGTGCTTTTAGTAACCCTATAATATATTCAGCACTAGCATATAACAGTGGATAACAACACTTACCAGCAGGGCATATAAGAGTCAGATAGCAGATATCAGCTGGATATTGAGCAGCATAAACACCAGCCACATTTCCACCCATCGAAGTGCCCACGAGATGGAATGGTTTCTTATTCATATTGATACTTTCTACAAACTGAGGTTTAAGAAAAATAAAAAAAGGAAAATGGTAATAATTATATAAATCTAGAAACATAAATATACATTTATTGTACATATGAACACTCCATTTCATTTATATCCTTAGTTCATGTTTTTTCATTATAATTCCTTTCCAGAGCTGAAGCGCTTGTTTTTTCCTGCCTCAGCTTCATACATGCTGTGGACTGACCGCAGACACCAAACACATTACAACACTTGGGAAGCCAATTAATATTCTAAGATACCAGGAACAAAAGCCCATCGCTTTGCATAGTCACAACAGAAACTACACAGGCACAACAGAAACTTGAAAACATTAAACTAAGCACAAAACCTCCAGGCACAAATACATGAAAAAATAACTGCATTATTTTCTCCATATTTTACAAATATTGTCCTTAATTGTATGGGAATTATGCTCAAACACAGACATTAGTTTTCATTTTGTTGCCATTACTGTTAAGCTGTATTGATAATAAAGTTTGTACAAATAACCATAAGCAGGGACGTTTATTTTATGTATCTTTTTTTGTTGAAGTTTTTATGAGATAATATGTCGGGCCCTGTGCTAAATACCGCAAGATAAGGGATACAATATACCAGGGTTCAAAGTTTCCACTCTGCAATGAAAAAATGTGTCCTCGCAGGTAGAAATTCACTTCTACTGAGTGTGCAATGTGCTCTCCAGGCTTGCAATGGGGAGTATCTTTTAAAGCCTGAGTAGTTGCATAAGACTTGACATTGCATGCCTTGCCATAGTGTGTCTAAAACATTTAAATCCTATAATATTCTTTAGAAGGGCGTTTTCTGGAATCGCCCCTCCTCTCTACACTCCTGCAATCCTTTGATTGGCCACCTTTGATGTCTCGGTGGTTGTTAGTCCCCTGGAGTCAGCACTCTTACTTATAAAGCTCAAGAGTTTTTAATATGCTTCTCCACCACTTTCCCTTCTTTCCAACCACCCTATTATCTACCCTACCCACCCACACGTAATTAGCTATTTTGTAGTAAATTGTATGTATTTGGCAAAAAAACAACTAAACTGAGGGAAGCTATAGGATCACTCATAAAGGGGTTAACCCATTCGCCCAAGCGATAATGATAAAGAAAAAAGAGAGAAACGAGTGACCTAATAATTAAAATATAACTTTTAATGAATTCGTTAAAAATAGTAAATGTATAAGGATAAATATCCAAATACTAAATGTAAAGAGTCATAATCAGAAATAGATATATAATGTGAAGAGTAATGTATCTAACTAATGGAAATTGCCCCCAAAAATATAGTAATAGGGGCAAATAACCAGTGAACAAATATATCAAATATACCATGTAATGACTCAAAGCTAAAAGTGGTAAATAATATAGTTGGGAGGTTCTGTTCAAAAGTTTTCAGAAATCCAATCCCAAAATAAATTAGCAAAACTAAGTTTTGCAATCACCGAGAACAAGAATAATATTGTTGCTGTAAAGGTGTTACAAAATGAATTATTATGTTATACACAGAGACAATTCATAAGTGAGAAATAATGTGACACTTTTTAGAATGGCTAATCGTGTTCCAATGAGCAAGCTGCCTCTGAGATATAATGTAACATTTAGAGCAACTGATATTGCTCAAATGTGTAAACTGCCTCTGTGGGAAGAGAACTTAGCCGTGATTGCAGTGGGAGCAAATAGAGGAGAGTTATGTCCTAATTGTGAAGTCTATCATGAGGAAGGTGCTCCTAAAAATCACTCGTCACCTAATGATAAAAAAAAACCAAACTCCCCCAAACTCATTGGAACACGATTAGCCGTTCTAAAAAGTGTCACATTATATCTCACTTATGAATTGTCTCTGTGTATAACATAATAATTCATTTTGTAACACCTTTACAGCAACAATATTATTCTTGTTCTCGGTGATTGCAAAACTTAGTTTTGCTAATTTATTTTGGGATTGGATTTCTGAAAACTTTTGAACAGAACCTCCCAACTATATTATTTACCACTTTTAGCTTTGAGTCATTACATGGTATATTTGATATATTTGTTCACTGGTTATTTGCCCCTATTACTATATTTTGGGGGGCAATTTCCATTAGTTAGATACATTACTCTTCACATTATATATCTATTTCTGATTATGACTCTTTACATTTAGTATTTGGATATTTATCCTTATACATTTACTATTTTTAACGAATTCATTAAAAGTTATATTTTAATTATTAGGTCACTCGTATGTATTTGGCATATTGCTAATTTATGAATATCTCACTTGTGAATTCTCATTTATCTATCTGTAGTTTCAAGTTTATCATACAACTTAGTTTCATTGAAGTTGTTATGGTGCTCAAACTGATCCTTTAACTTCTCACGTTCGTAAATAACCCTGAAAGTGCATGGTAGTGAAGAATTGATATCTCGTACCTATTGAGAGGCTTAGTTTATAGGCCATGATGTTGTATTTTAATCGTTTTAAAACAGCAATTAAAATACAACAACCATGTCCGATACAGAGGAAATCTGATTTTGTTTTAAATATATTAAGTTATTATTTTAGTAACAGAAAATTAAGAAAGAAGACAACATATATCTAAAAACTATGGAAGCACATAGCACTGGAAGAAAGAAAACACAGAAATGGTGTGTATATATATATATATATATATATATATATATATATATATATATATATATAACATTCAGTAACACCTCCATCAAGCCAGCCGCATATGTAAATGCCATTATAATCACAATTTTATATAAGCTTTTTGTTCTTCAGTCAGAGTGCAAAGATGAACCAGATGGGATGTAATCATTTTATAGAGAACATGAGATTTTAATCTCCAAAGATTTAGGATGCCCTGGCAACATTCAGAGTGTGAGATGTGTGTTAGCAGCTGCAGCAATCTATTGAAGTGCTTTTGGTATAAGCTCCTATGGTTTTACATGGATATAGTATATAATGCTTATCCCCGTGGGTGGCAACAAGTTGCAAGAAGCTACAGGGATCAAATGTTCTGTATCAAATAAAGTGACAAGATTACTAGAAACAATGTTAATACAATTAAAGGGAAACTCCTCTGGAAATTACACATTTATAAATATGCAACATTGTTTCGGTTTCTCCTTTACTATTTGTACTAACAGGACAGTTTTTTGGGGTTTTTTGTTTTTTTTAAAAAACAATGATCAAAAATGTTGTTGACCTAAAATTTAAACTGATTTTTTAATAACAGACAATCATATATGTTTGTTAAAGGGACACTACAGTCACCCAGACCACTTAATCTCATTGAAGTGGTATGGGTGCAGTCTCCTTGTCCCAGTTAGTCCTGCAATGTAAATGATTGCAGTTTTTGAGAAACTGCAATGATTACTTGCAGGACTAAGACTGCCTCTAGTGGCTGTCAGACAGAGGCACTTCGTGGATCCAAATTCACGCAAGGTCACCTAAATGACGCTGGATGGAGTTATGCTCTGCATGAGGACATCCAGCATCAGTGAAACCCTGATAGTAAAGCATTGAATAAATGCTTTCCTATGGGGAGGGCCTAAGGCGCTCGCGACGCTAGCCACACTTGCGCATTCGCCCCCTCCTCACACAGTCTAATGACATCAGAGGAGGGAGAGTGCCGACCCAGTGCCGAGGGAGGGGGGGGGACCAGAGGGCACTATAGTGTTAGTAATACAGATGTGTGTTCCTAACACTATAGAATCCCTTTAAGTATAGGGGGTAAGTACCATATAAAGATAATATTAAAATTCCAGGAAGGACATTTCCCCTTTAAGTATTACACAGCAATTATAATTTCCTGCATATAACTATTGACCTCTTAACTCCTGGCCACCAAAGCACCACAGCTCTTATCAGGAACCACTTTTCCAGAACCATAAGCAGTCTCTGTGCAACATATAAACGTTAGAACAGCTCATGAAATTATTCTAAAATATAAATGTTTATCCAAATAAAATCAAGCTGTTTCTTTTTAAACCAGTTTTACAAATACCTGGTGTATTCTTTTAACTTGTTCATTGGCCGTGTAGTCATCCAAAGCAGACCGAGTAGTTCCCTCATGACCAGGCATGTCCACGCACACCAGGTGAAGGTGCTTAGGTAGGAACTGCAAAAATCGGAAAATGTTTCAGCATTTCAACAAACAAAAATATCGACTTCAGGATTGTCATAGGCCTTTCAAGTAGAAAACCACATCATGATTTGTTTCCTTTAATATTCGGAAACCCTGTTCAGTGTTTCCCACAAAACTCTTTCCAAATAATGAATCCATCTGTCTTCTCTGACCTAATGAGTTCACGAATAGAACTTCTTCAATGATGGGAACTGGGTCACTACAACATATATATTGTCTTTCATTACAATATGAATTCTAGGTTCAGATATTAATTACTTTACCAACAGCAGTACGCCAGAATTTGGACCAATAAGGTGATTGGTCGAATTTCTGAAATCTGTTTTGACATGTAGCCAATCACAAACCAGATAATAAGTGCAGTGGCCAAGCATGTTAGTTCAGGCAGGTTAGAGGTATCAGTTCGCACTTGGGGACTACGGGGGCATCAGGAATGACACTAGGGGGCAAGGGGGTGCAGAAGCACACGCACAAAAAATGTATAATCCCTGATAGAGATATAGGCTCCAACACGCAATGCTGACTGGGTGCAAATTCTCTTGGTAAGTCTCTGGCATTAAAGACTATATGATGTGGTTTTTAAGATGTTACATGTATGATCCATAAAATAACAGAGCAATCACCACTAAAGGGCATCATATTACATATATTTCATTTACAATGAAGTTACATTTACAATGTTTACTGTTCATTTAACCCTTACCTTAACTACAGTCAGCCACATGTCTTTATGGGCAGAGAATCCATGTAACATTAATAAAGAAGGTTTGGGGCCTGGTCTCCCTCTGGTAATGTAACAAAATGTATAATTTCCATAGTTGACATATTTAACCTGCATACCCAGCGTCCGTCGCCAGTACCTGCGATAAAATATACCAGATACTTAAGGTGCAGCATAATTAGTGAGTGTGTGAGCATCATTTAACAAAAATCAAGGTTAACAAAATATAGCATCAATGTAATAATTACACTTATGTAATATATAGACCAGATTCCAGATAAGAACCGTTTTTTCTGGTCTAGGTTGTTTAATATAAAAACTTTTTTACAGATTTTTTTTTTCGTACACCCTTATGCACAGTTTATGCATTCTTCGATTCATTTATTGTGTCAGATTGTAAAACTTCCACTGTAGGCTGTTCCAGGTATCTACTACTTTTTCTGTCAAATTGCATTAGCCCACAAGTCTTCTGCTCTCCTGCTCCAAGTTATGTCCACTTCCTCTGATCAAGGCTTCTTTATTTTTAATGTATCAATTAATTCTGTTAGGTTACTGTAGCCTGCCTTATTTTATGCAGGATGCATCCTTGGCTGAAGTGCTTACAATTGAAATGTAATTCCTGATAAGTTTCTGCAAATTAGCCTTGTGTGATCTGTTCCTCATTATTGAGCCTCAGTGAAAGCACTTTGTTATATTCTAAATAGTTTCTTTTTACATAGCAGAAGGGATCAGTTTCCAAATATATAAAAGTATGTTTTATTAGTGTATAAGAACATGGGAAACATAACTGAGTGAGTAAGAGTTATTTTCCAGTCCTGCTCACACGTGCTTTGGAAGTTCATATGCTTCTGTAGTTTGGATACTGAAATCTTGCCCGACAAAACTGATTTACCAGCAACATTATGTCTAAACTGAAGCCACAGTCCCAAAACAGGAGCACGTCCATCTCTTCCGATACCCAGGTGTAGGCTGCTTATGAGGCCTTCACCAAATGTCCTAGTGGCACCTTGGTTATTGTAGACCATGTAAAAATAGAAGAATGCTCTCAAGCATGGCCAGTGAAGAGCACTTCAAGGTAATCCACAGAACAAACGAGGACTGGTCACAAATTATGTATACGGTCATTATAATATCACATGTGTACAAGTGTGGGGCTTCTATTCTCGACCTGGGGAGTCCAAATCTGCTGCAGCACATCCTGTCAACAGGCTTTACCAGATTGATAAGTGGGAGAAGTGAAGATGCTAGTGGCAGGTATGTAGACTGCCTGAACTTGTGGGTCTACGGAGTAGCCCAGATATGTCTCCTACTAGACACCGTTTTGATAATCAAACAGTTAAGCATCATACAAACTGCAGCTTCACATTTATACATCAATTATTTAATTAGAATTAAAAAAAAAAACACATTACCTGATACTATCCCATTATTTAATGCAGATTTAAATAGCAATTTGCTTTTAGTACCACTAAAACGGCCTTCAAAGTGTACGCTCACCAGCCAGGTCAACGCAAACCTCTAAGGTTAGACCGACCTAAGATCAAATCAGTTTCACATCCTAATCACCTAACTGACCTGTTAAACCAGAAGGGTAAGATACAATTTGAAGTAAAAGGAATGCAAAAAATCAAATGACTAAAAAACATAATTATCTAAGTGTTGCTTTATATAAATGATCACAGGAACAGTTAAAGGATCACTATAGTGTCCGGAAAACAAACTCATTTTCCTGACATTATATAACCCTTAGGTCCCTTCACCCCCCCCCTCAGGGCCCACCTCTCTTGGCACTGAAGGGGTTAAAGCCCCTTCAGCTACTTACTTTAATCCAGCGCCGGGCTCCCTCGGCGCTGGTGACCTCTCCTCCCATGTCGATGTCAGCTCCCGAGTGAAGCGGAATGCGCATGCGCATTAAAAACACCCATAGGAAAGCATTTCTCAATGCTTTCCTATGGACGTTCTCCACGCTGAATGCGATTTTCGCATCCAGCATCGCAGAAGCTCCTCTAACGGCTGTCAGGAAGACCGCCACTAGAGGCTGGATTAACCCTGCCATGTAAACATAGCAGTTTCTCTGAAACTGCTATGTTTACATCTGAAGGGTTAAAACCTATGGGACCTGGCACCCAGACCACTTCATTGAGCTGAAGTGGTCTGGGTGACTATAGTGTCCCTTTAAATAAACACTATAGTGTCAGGAATACAAATATACATTCCTGACACTATAGTGTTTAACTATTTAGGTGACTAGCTCCCCTTCGATTGAATGGGAAAGGTGAGTTTATGGCTGAAATCAGTCTTGATGATCTCCAATGCTTTCCTATAGGAAATGTCATGCTGCCACAATCAGCATTTCCTCATATGTCAAACATTTAGCACCTCCATGCCGAGTACACTGTCTGAGTGCCTGCCATTAGAGGTGTTCCTAGGCAGCAATGTAAACACTGTCTTTTATCTGAAAAGGCAGTGTTTACAGTGCTCAGCCTGCAGGGATAGGCAACAGACACCAGAACCACTACATGAAGCTTAAGTGGTTCCGGTGACTATAGCGTCTCTTTAATTTTTTAAAGCACTCAATAAAGTAAAAAAGTAATCATCACAGTGTACGTCATCTTCATATTTCTTTGTATTATTTAATGTACGAGTCACTAAATAAATGAGTAAATGTTAGGAGTAGCACAGTATATTTAATTTACTGAAGAAAACGAAACCTTTTGTGTTATTAAAAGGAACACGCCAAGTGGTTATGGTGTCAGAGGTGCCCTGGCATCCTCCCACAGTAAGTAGCCGCTAATGGTTTAAAAACGTACCTGAGTTGCACTGGGCACCAGTTACCTCCTACAGGAGAGTTAAAATGCCCCCCTCTGATTCCATATTTGCCTTTGGATCCATTCTACTAAAAATGGAGGGCTTCCTTTTGGCTATCCATGCATTGCTCAATAACTAAATCAATATTTTAAAAGCCTCTTTACTAATATTGACACAGAACGAAAGCCAACTATCACTGGCCACTACTTGCGAGTAATAGTATGTAACAGTATGTACTATTACTCACAATGAATAGCTGGTTCTCTCTGGTGCTATCACCCAGGCAAACCTTCTGGGCAATAAAGGCGGCCAAAGGAAGGAAACCAGAATGCGGAGTTGTTGGGCGCTATGTGTATGACTTCAGGGTTTAACCTTCTGAAAATGGTTTCACTCCTGAAGGTAAGATCGGAGGATCAGAGCCTGAAATTAGAATGTCCCTGATGAAATTGGAAAAGTTGAGGGCCATACTGATTCCACCTACCGAACAACATAATTCCATAGTGAAAATTGTTCCACTGTTATTATCAATCTATGTCGGGTTATCTCAAGACCTTACCAGACCTTACTCTGATGTATACCTGACTTGAAACTTACATGCCTGATATCTTTAATATCAAACGCAGACAATCAGAAAACTATTGCCCAACCTTTTAAATCAGTTTTGAATGTCTATAAATCAGCAGGCAAACTGTGACTGGGATTAGAATGCTGGGCGTCAAGGTCACTGAGCTCCCTTGCTTACTAATGCAATGTTAGTGAAAAATGCAATTCTATTCAGTTAATGAAAGGTTTGGTTTTCAAATTAACTGTCCTGTAATAGAGATAGGACCAATAAATAGACTACTATTGAAGTGAGGGCTGAATATTTTAACTGGAATGATCTTTAGAACAAAGATAAACGGGCTGAAAACAAATTTTTTTTTTTTCCTGATGCATTTTGTTTAAGTAATATGAATGCTGAATTTAAACGATTTTTTCTTTCTTCTTTTTTTTTTACATTCTTTATTTTTTTAGTGCACGGAATAACATACAGGCTTGTGAGTGCTGCCGCTGCGATGGTGCAAGCTTCTTGCCAGTTGGGGCCGGGATAACCCCACTTTCTTTCTTTTTTAACAAACGTCAATGTCTTACCAGTAATAGATGTTAATCAGAGCAGCCGGCCATACGAGAAAGGATGCAGTGAAGGCCAGAATTGGGATCAGAAGTGTACCACCTGCAATCAGGACCATATTCACAATATCTAGATCCATATTTGTTCAGTTTGGGTCTGTCTGTCAAGATAGAAGGATATTATTAGGGTAATGTTTGTCTATCAAATATTATTGTGCTACAAAGATTTGAAGCTGCAACAGAGTCTCCCTAGAAAAATAGATCCTTTTTTTCCGACTATAGGATGCAGTTTTGAAAAAGAAAAAAAACTAAACTGTCTGCATTCTCTTTTATGATTATATATATATATATACATATATATATATATAAAAAAATAAATCTTTCAACACTGAAGTTGCTGTTTAGTGGATAGGTGAGTGCGCTGGATCTTGTGTATTGTATTATTTGGCCCCCAGCAGCACACCCATTTATGCATGTTAAGGTGAGTGCAGTCAACCCCCTCTTGTTTTATATATATATATATATATATATATTTGGGAGTCTAGCCAACTCCTTGGTTTTGCACCCCTCCCTGTCACAGGTGCCTCATCCCAGGGCCCTATTTAGCCTTGTACTGCAGAGAGCCCCAGATGGAATTTCTTTCCCCAAGTAGGTTAATCTCATAAGAGCAGACATTAGGCTGTTAGTGTAGGACCTGCCAAAGATGGGGTACATTGACGTTGTGGCAGGCTTATGCAATGTATGATCATATAATGTAACTAAACCCCCATTATTTTTGCCTAGATTAGGTGTTTTTAAAAAAACAAATAAAATCTTTCAACATTGAAGTTGCTGTTTAGTGGATAGGTGAGTGTGCTGGATCTTGTGTATTGTATTATTTGGCCCCCAGCAGCACCCCCATTTATGCATGTTAAGGTGAGTGCAGCCAACCCCCTCTTGATATATATATATATATTATTTTTTTAAATGTTATTTATAAAACTGTGGGCAGTCCAGAAAGGGAGATCAAAGACCTCCCTCACTGGGCCATTACCACAGTCTGTGGTGGGGGAGATTATATTCTGCACATGTGCCATATACACATGGATACCTTGGAAGGTGCCAGCTAGAGTCACTCCCCACTGGATCAACAGGGGTCATCATGTTACCTCTTCCTCGCCCCCGGTAAGAAGCACAGAGGGAGGAATACAACAAAAAAACAAACATATAAAACTACTCCCCTCTTACCCCCTACCATACAGCCCTTATCACACCTCACAAATTCCCACACACGCACATACAGCCACTGTACAATGATATACTACATCCCCCTAAGTTTACCATAATGACTGTACTGGTTGTCTTTCTTTTAAGTTAAGATATATAGGTGCATTATATTTTGGTGAGTCTTATAACTGAAAAATATGATCACATGTGTATCTAGGTTACATGGCACTAGCGGTGAAAATGTATCTTGCCACTCAAGCCTCTGAATATGAGGTTTGTTTATTCAATGTGTGCGCACACAAAACAAAATTTGGATTTAGTGACTAACCCTGCAAATGACAAAACATGATAATGTTAGAAAGCTTTTTACAGTATTGAAAGTATTAAATAGCCTCCCAAAGAATATCCACTGGAAAAGAGGGATTAACATAGTCAAGGGTATTCACAACGTAAATTGTCAGAAATTTAAAAAAAAAAAGATTAAAAATTTATTTCAAATTTGAAGCCAACATAGATCAACTGAAAACATAAGTATTTTTTAAATTCAGCTATTTTTGTCTAATACACTTTGGATACCTGACTTTTCACATTTCAGTAAATAGCCTGTGTTTAAAGAAGTTAAGACTGAATCTGCAGCAAACAATGAAGTTGCTTACATTAAGGAGTCCAGACTGCAGAAGATACCGGCTAATACAAGGTATTAGTGTTTAGTGCTGACAGCAGACATTTTTCCTAAGCACGCAGTCTCTGCAATATTTGCTAAATCACTGTAAATGTAGGACCTTGCCGGCTCATTGTACGGTCAAAATGTTTTAAGAGATCACATAATCAAAGATGAGAAAATAAGATTTCCTGCAAGGAGACGTTACAACTAACTAAAAAGAAAAGAAAATTAAAGATCTAAGGCCGCAATACTAAAGTGAAAAAACAAAACAAAAAAAAGAAACAATTTTAGAGCACCCTTGGGTGAAAGGACACACTTTCTACATAGTCTGAGACCTAGTAAACTTACTGTAGACGGCTGCAATGCTATTAATAGATGCTCATCCAACACATTAAATAATGAGTATCGTTCCAGTGGGATAATTCTGCTCACTCTCCATATATTGCTGCACTATATTATACTCTCTGCAGGCAGCAAACTTTGACCTTGCAAATTACTCACCTTTGCTCATACTGAGATTGTAAGACGATAAATGGCCTGTTATTAACTGAATAAAGTGAGAATCACATAGCCCTTTCTTTGTGGACAAATGTATATATACAGTATTTAGCACCGGATACTCTAGTAGTCAAGTCCATTTCTGTATATAAATATACACACATTTTCATCATCTGCCTTTTCAATACATCCAGTTCTTCTCAAAGTCTCAGGATCACCCACTGCCCCCCAGTTAATTGCTAATTGAGAAGCAGATGTAGATATGACTGTGGTTTATTGTGATATATCTGCACTCTAATTTCTAACTCCCTAGTAATGCCTCCTGTAGGTGTCCTTGGTTCAATGTGACACATCATATATTTATTACCTCCCCTTTAACCCAGTGCCTTTTTTTCTGATCATAAAAATAAGTGTGGGGAGAGGGGGGGGGGGGATAAATAAATTAATATTCTCCACACACTCAAAGTGCTTTATGTGTCTCAAGTTGGTGCCTCAATTAGAAAAGGCCCTTTTATAAACTGTCAGAAATCTGACAAACATCTCCCTGACAGACAGCCAGATAGGTTGACTTCCCTTTAAATTTTAAGCCAAAAAAAGAAAACTAAAGTAATTCACAAATCACCAACTTAAAAAACAAAATCAATTTTATTGAACTGAGAATTCAAAGTGAATTTGTGAATTTCAAATGTAAGACCAGAGTAGCTTAACAGAAATATAGCTGACTATTTTTGAACATTTTTCCTGTATGACTATTTTGATCCTAAATTTGAAATTTCACTTTATATTCTCACGTCACTTCAATGGAAAGCCACCCATTTTTAAAAAGTTTTTTAACACTACCAGAATGGTGCGATACCCTTGCACGGAATCCTGCCTCAGTGGTTGACCTTAAGCCAAAGAGGACTTTTAATGTTTACAGTCTGCACCTATTTGCCAATTCACCTGACCTCACTTGCTTTATTGAGACACCTAAATTCGTACCCCTCTATAACCCTTAAAGGACCACTATAGGCACCCAGACCACTTCAGCTTAATGAAGTGGTCCGGGTTCCAGGTCCAGCTAGGGTTAACACTTTTTTTATAATAGGGTTAATCCAGCCTCTAGAGCCTCTAGTGGCTGTCTCATTGACAGCCGCTAGAGGCACTTGCGTGCTGACGCCAGCGTCCATTGGAAAGCATTGTAAATGCTTGCCTATGAACTGGCTGAATGCGTGTGTGGCTCCTGTCGCGCATGCGCATTCAGCCGATGACGTCGCTATGAAGGAGGAGAGGAGTAGGAGAGCTCCCCGCCCGGCGCTGGAGAAAGGTAAGATTTTAACCCCTTCCTCTCCCCAGAGCCCGGCGGGAGGGGGACCCTAGTGCCAGGAAAACAAGTAGGTTTTCCTGGCACTATAGTGGTCCTTTAAAGTTTATCACTGAATTTCCATATCACTTAAAGGACCACTATAGTCACCCAGACCACTTCAGCTCAATGAAATGGTCTGGGTGCCAGGTCCCCCAGGTTTTCACCCTGCAGCTGTTAACATAACAGTTTCAGAGAAACTGCTATGTTTACATTGCAGGGTTAATCCAGCCTCTAGTGGCTGTCTTCTTGACAGCCGCAAGAGGCGCTTCCGCGACGCTCAATGCGAAAATCGCATTGAGCACGCAGAACATCCATAGGAAAGCATTGAATAATGTTTTCCTATGGGCAGTTTGAATGCGCGCGCGGCTCTGGCCACGCATGCGCATTCGGCTCCACTCGGGAGCTGTCGTCAGAGGGGGAGGAGTGATCACCAGCGCCGAGATAGCTCGGCGCTGGATTAAGGTAAGTGGCTGAAGGGGTTTTAACCCTTTTAGCCCAGCGGGAGAGGGGCCCTGAATGAGGATGGGGGGGACCTAAGCACTATATAGTGCCAGGAAAACTAGTTTGTTTTCCTGGCACTATAGTGGTCCTTTAAAGCAGAATAACTTCCACTATGAATTTTCTGTTGTAAACATGTCTCATTCCATGTCTCACCCTCTCCTTATGGTCGTCTCCATTTTTGACCTCTTACCTTTCCAGGGACGCTTTGCATTACTTAATCAAGTAAGCAGGTACACTCATGAATATTGTTCATGACAGCACCCACTTTGTTATGGCCCCAAAACACCCACGTAAATTAGGGTCACGTCCTTCCTTAATTTCCCCACAATATGCCTCCAGTATACAATGCAGCAACATGTTCACAAAATGTGGAGAAACAGCCAGTAACTTAGGGGGGAAAACCCTGATGTACCCCAATAAACAAAGTAGGAGGAGACATGGAAATACAGCTTGCTGAACTCCTACAGGCCGGGCTGTGACAGATACATGCATCCAAATAAACAAGCTACAGCAATTATGGCCAAAACTCTGACCTGCGATTTAAAGTTTATTGAATATCCATGAGGAATGCAAAGTCCTTCTTACATTTTATATAGGTGTATGCGATTTCTTAGTGTATTATGCATACACACAATTGTTTTAATGTAAGTGCATCATAAGCACGTGCATGACTTTCCTCCAAAGTGTCCCTATTTAGAAGGAACAGTCCCTATTTTGGGACCAATCCCAGCGGTTCTGCTTTTCTATCCTAATATCCCTATTTTCTAGAAGCTCCTTATTGTTGGTGTGTCTGAGTGTATAACAGAGCTCCACAGTAATAATACACACAATGTGTCTTTAATGGGACATTATAGTCACCAGAACAACTACAGCTTAATGCATTAGTGCTGATGTGTATAGCATGTCCTTAATGGCTTTTTAATGTAAACACTACTCGTTCAGAGAAAAAAGGTAGTGTTTACATTGCTGTCTAGGAACAACTCTAGTGGCAGTCATTAAGATGACCAATAGAGGTGCTTCCTCTGGGTCAGTGCTGCTCAATGCGTCTCCACGCTTTGCATGGAGACGCTGAACGTTCCACATAGAGATGTTACCTAAAATTTCCCAGAACAGCCCGCCACTGGCTTCACCCACACCCACACCCCTATAATTAAAATGTCCCTCTTTGTACATTTGAAATGTTGGTAGGTATGTGTGCCAAGTGTGCCCAGGGCCAAACTGTCCACTCTTTCCCTTTAGGCCTCTGTGATCACTCCTGTGTGAGTTTGTATTAGTTTGCGATGTTTTGAAGAAATTCTCTGTATACACCTTTTTATCACTAGAACAAGAATGTGCATTTTGCACCTCTTTTGTTAAATTAGTATTTTTAAGTGAAGCGGGCAAGTTAATTTTCTCAAGGATACACACCCTAATGTAATGCATTGTGCACCCTTATGAGGTGCATTATATTTCTATTTGTGTATATATTTTAAACATCAAACTGTGCAATATTATGCTTAAAAATACATATATAATTCTACAAACTAGCTAATCAAAACAAAGCCACTTCATTTCCACCTTGTTGTGCAACTTTGTGCAAAGGTCCTGACTATGTTTGGGAGATACTCCACCTGATTTATTCTACCTTTATTACCATAGTATTATTTACTTACTATAACTATATATGGTATATAATGATGTTACCATTTGTATCTGTAGTTTACCTCGATATTTCTGTACATGCAGTTTTTCATTGTTATTTTCAGTCAGTGTATTAGTTGGCAAATATTTCAATTGTATACAACAAATTTTGCTCTAGCCAACCCCTATATTCTTTGCACCTCCTAGCAGTAAATTCCATCAAATAACCGTGTCTCTCTCTTTCTCAGGGCTAATTCCATAAACCAGCCAACAGAAACAAAGCCACTTCATTTTCACTAAGTACTACCTGCCCACCATAGTTCCTTCTAATTTAATAACAGGCTTTCTCAGATGTTTGACATAACACTCAGCTACCTCATCATTCCCTTTACAGGTTACCAGAGGCTGCAATTATCCTTTTTAATTCTCTCTGGCCATAAACTCCAAATTCCCCTTGCTACCTTTTGTCAAAATTGCTCAGTTTAACCTTTAGATTGTAAGCTTATATAGACTATATCTAGGAAAACACTCTGTATAAACGAGCTTCAATGGCTAGATCTCAACTCACAGGTAGGGCCTTCTTTACCCTTTGTATTGGTCTGTTTATATTGTACTGTCATTTTCCTGAATTGTACAGAACTGTGGAATATGTTGGCGCTTTATAAATACCAGTAATAATATAGCAATATAATACACATATATACACACACACACATATATATATATATATATATAAATATGGAACAGAGCATTCTTTAACACACTCACTGACATATAGTTTCATTGACCCATACACCCACGCTCTCAGATATACATACACATGTTCACTGGCACACACAAAATCATACACATACATCGTTAACACACACTGGTGCTCACACTTGCAATCACACAGAAACCCATACAAACACAATGATACACAATCACTAATGCATACATATTAACATACACTGACACACACATTAACACACACTGGCACACACTGATCCATACTGACATACACAAACACAGTAAACCTATATAAGCACAGTAACACACACACTGGTCCATACAAATCTCCGCTATCACTGGTCAATACAAACACCCACTGGTCCATACACACATATGAGGTTATGAGCCCAGCAGCCTTCAGTTCTGTTAGTTACGCCAGTAGTGACGGGTAGTTGCTGTTCTTTGTATCACTCCGCTGTATGGGCACTGGTGGAAGGAGGAGATCATGCCAGGGCCCTTGGTATCTAGTGATGGGTAAGCATGGACCCCGTACTGCTTCCACTTTGTGTGTGATCCAGTTTTCAGGCAGCGAGGCCAAGTTATATGCCGGCACCCATTGCTTGGAAACTATTCCACATGCAGAGTGAAAGCAGGAAGGAGTAAATACTTCCTACCACAGCTGGCCTTGTGGCACCCAGTGACATGTGTCGCCTGCCCTGTCCACATTTGCTGTGCCACATAGTGCCCAAGCACCCTCCCATTGCAAGTAGTCCTGTAGTAGGTGTTTGCAAACAATTTGACAGCTAAACCGTGGTCTTCCAAGCACCTCCTTCTCTAGATCTTGGAAGCTCCTCCATGGAGATCCCATTAGCACCAATGACCTAAACCCTGCAGTGCAGGAGGTGACTGATGGACACAGGTAAGTTGTCAAAGAGAGAAGCACTTTTCATGATATGTCCTGCATCATGTAGATGTTATGTGTGTCCTGCTGGATCTGGCAAGCCTGGGCTTAACCCACTTATTGCAGAATATACAGTGTGTAGGCTAAACAAGACTGCACAACATTAGGCTGGGCATCAGGTTATGGCCACCATAGAGCAGGACTTGGTATGGAGATATAAAGCTAGAGAGCTGTTCAGTTTCAGCACTGCAGAACCCACATTGCAGAGGTCTGACACTTCCTGATTTCTCCTAACACAATATTGCAATTCACTTGGGGGGGGGAGGGCTGTACCATTCCACACTCATATGGGTCAATTATTTATAACAACATACGTTAGCCATGTTTGTTTTAATCATACAGTACTGGAGATAGTGGTAGTGAGTATACAGAATATCAGGAGCAGGGACATGTCCCCGGGGTAAGCAGGGGTCCAACTCTGACATGCATTTGGAATTTATGTTATTGTGATAGCATTTCCATCTCTGCATCACTTCTCAATTTAAAAAAACGACTTAAATATAAAAATAAAATACATTTAAAAAGATTAAAAATAAATAAATTATATATACATATATATATATATATATATATATATATATATATATATATATGTATAAATATAGTTTGTCTTGATTGTGAAGAAGAGACAATAATTCTAAATAAACAGAATATTATCATAGTTTAAATATGATGTGTCATACTGTGTTAGAGTAGAAAGTGTGTACAAAGTTGACTCACCTCCAGGAATTCCAGGCTAGCAGCAGGGAGCGAGAAAGCTTCTGCTTGGTCATTGAACCGCAGTTTAATTAGCAATTGGTAGTTACTTTAAAAGTACACTTCAAGCACCATAACCACTACAGGGCACTGTACAAGTTATGGTGCCAGGAGTGTCCTGGGACCCCCAAAATGAAGTAGTCAAACCATTGGCTAGCGGCATATAGGACAATTCAGTCCAGACATACTGAATCGACATATGCCATTGTTGTCCCACATCAGAAACTTTTGGGGTTGAAGAATAGGGAATAAAAAATAAAAGGTGCAATCAAGTAACGCTGAATTGTCCGGTTTCTAGGCTCTCAGCCCTTACCTCATAACCCTGGAAGGACAGTGAGCATGTTACATTTCCTAAAGGAGGGGTAGGCTTTTGGTGACTGGGGAAACATATGGGACTGCACTAACAGACACCTGGCACCATAACCACTACAATAAGTTGCTGGATGTTTGGAGTGTCATTTTGGACAAATACAGATTAACAGAAAGTAAAAAAACAGAAGACATAAAAAAAGAGAAGAAGTAAAGGAGAGAGCAAATGGGAATGACATCAGAAGAGATACAAAGAAAATGAACAGACAGATGAGACACATTGAATCAGGCAGATAACAGTTATATCTATATTTAGTATGTGCTGTGTGTTACATGCCATTAATTGGTAGACAGACAGGAATACATTTAACCCAGACACACAGTCACTCTCAAATATAGCACAATGGCAGCAATTAACACTGAATGACACTGTGCACAATGACAGGTGCTGTAATGCTCTGTATACTCCTAGAACACACAGTATACACACTATATAACCCAGTAACACACAGTTATTGCAGCAAAGTGCCAGGATGTGATACAATGTAACACAATGCAGCATTCCATTCACTCCAAGCACACACCATGCTGGCTCCCAGCTCTCTATTCTCTCACCTTCAGGTTCAGTTCTGATCAGCGGTCCAGAAGGTGAGCGATTCCCCCAATCAGTGCCGGGATCACAATGCAGGGCTGACAGATCCGACCCGGAACTGCCGCACTTTCATTACAGAGCATCCATAAACAGTCACAGCAGTGAGAGACATTTGCAGCTTTTTATTGCCCTCTAGTGGTAATATAGCGCAACACATCGAAATATATAGTAAGTCAAAGGGACATTAGACCCTTTAATTGAAGTGGTCTGGCCCCTTAGCCCTGCAGCTGCAAACATTGAGAAACTGCAATGTTTTTATTGGAGGGTTAAAGCTGCACTTTCACCCTCCCTGCAAAATGAGTATGTCACAAAGATAAAACTTTATGAAATATTAGTTCTGACTGTGTTGGAATTTCACTGAAATTCCAAACCGATCAAAAGATATACTGAGACAAAGTAGGGACTATATAACAAAAACTACACTAACACTCTGCATACACTAATACAGCACACATACTGCATACACTAATACAGCACTAATACTGCATACACTAATACAGCACACATACTGCATACACTACACTTACACTCTGCATACACTAATACAGCACTAATACTGCATACAGTAATACAGCACTAATACTGCATACAGTAATGCAGCACTAATACTGCATACAGTAATGCAGCGCTAATACTGCATACACTAATACAGCACACATACTGCATACACTAATACAGCACACATACTGCATACACTAATACAGCACTAATACTGCATACAGTAATACAGCACTAATACTGCATACACTAATACAGCACTAATACTGCATACAGTAATACAGCACTAATACTGCATACACTAATACAGCACTAATACTGCATACACTAATACAGCACACATACTGCATACACTACACTGACACTCTGCATACACGAATACAGCACACATACTGCATACACTAATACAGCACACATACTGCATACACTAATACAGCACTAATACTGCATACACTAATACAGCACTAATACTGCATACACTAATACAGCACTAATACTGCATACACTAATACAGCACTAACACTGCATACACTACACTGACACTCTGCATACACTAATACAGCACACATACTGCATACACTAATACAGCACTAATACTGCATACAGTAATACAGCACTAATACTGCATACACTAATACAGCACTAATACTGCATACACTAATACAGCACACATACTGCATACACTAATACAGCACATACAATACTGCATACAGTACATACAGCATACACTACATACTGCATACACTAATACAGCACTAATACTGCATACACTAATACAGCACTAATACTGCATACACTAATACAGCACACATACAGCATACACTAATACAGCACACATACTGCATACACAACACTAACACTCTGCATACACTACACTGACACTCTGCATACACTAATACAGCACTAATACTGCATACACTAATACAGCACACATACTGCATACACTAATACAGCACTAATACTGCATACACTAATACAGCACTAACACTGCATACACTAATACAGCACACACACTGCATACACTAATACAGCACTAATACTGCATACACTAATACAGCACTAATACTGCATACACTAATACAGCACACATACTGCATACACTAATACAGCACACATACTGCATACACTAATATAGCACACATACTGCATACACTAATACAGCACTAATACTGCATACACTACACTGACACTCTGCATACACTAATACAGCACTAATACTGCATACACTAATATAGCACTAATACTGCATACACTAATACAGCACTAATACTGCATACATTAATACAGCACACATACTGCATACACTAATACAGCACAAATACTACATACACTACACTGACACTCTGCATACACTAATACAGCACAAATACTGCATACACTAATACAGCACTAATACTGCATACACTAATACAGCACACATACTGCATACACTAATACAGCACAAATACTGCATACACTAATACAGCACTAATACTGCATACACTAATACAGCACACATACTGCATACACTAATACAGCACACATACTGCATACACTAATACAGCACTAATACTGCATACACTAATACAGCACACATACTGCATACACTAATACAGCACTAACACTGCATACACTAATACAGCACACACACTGCATACACTAATACAGCACTAATACTGCATACACTAATACAGCACTAATACTGCATACACTAATACAGCACTAATACTGCATACACTAATACAGCACACGTACTGCATACAGTAATACAGCACTAATACTGCATACACTAATACAGCACTAATACTGCATACACTAATACAGCGCTAATACTGCATACACTAATACAGCACTAATACTGCATACAGTAATACAGCACACATACTGCATACAGTAATACAGCACTAATACTGCATACACTAATACAGCACACATACTGCATACACTAATACAGCGCTAATACTGCATACACTAATACAGCACTAATACTGCATACATTAATACAGCACACATATTGCATACAGTAATACAGCACTAATACTGCATACACTAATACAGCACTAATACTGCATACACTAATACAGCACACACACTGCATACACTAATACAGCACACACACTGCATACACTAATACAGCACTAACACTGCATACACTAATACAGCACTAACACTGCATACACTAATACAGCACTAACACTGCATACACTAATACAGCGCTAATACTGCATACACTAATACAGCACACATACTGCATACACTAATACAGCACACATACTGCATACACTAATACAGCACTAATACTGCATACACTAATACAGCACTAATACTGCATACAGTAATACAGCACACATACTGCATACACTAATACAGCACTAATACTGCATACACTAATACAGCACACATACTGCATACACTAATACAGCACTAATACTGCATACACTAATACTGCATACACTAATACAGCACACCTACTGCATACAGTAATGCAGCACTAACACTGCATACACTAATACAGCACTAATACTGCATACACTAATACAGCACTAATACTGCATACACTAATACAGCACACATACTGCATACAGTAATACAGCACTAATACTGCATACACAAATACAGCACTAATACTGCATACACTAATACAGCGCTAATACTGCATACACTAATACAGCACTAATACTGCATACAGTAATACAGCACACATACTGCATACAGTAATACAGCACTAATACTGCATACACTAATACAGCACACATACTGCATACACTAATACAGCGCTAATACTGCATACACTAATACAGCACTAATACTGCATACACTAATACAGCACACATACTGCATACAGTAATACAGCACTAATACTGCATACACTAATACAGCACTAATACTGCATACACTAATACAGCACACACACTGCATACACTAATACAGCACACACACTGCATACACTAATACAGCACTAACACTGCATACACTAATACAGCACTAATACTGCATACACTAATACAGCACTAACACTGCATACACTAATACAGCACTAACACTGCATACACTAATACAGCGCTAATACTGCATACACTAATACAGCACACATACTGCATACACTAATACAGCACTAATACTGCATACACTAATACAGCACTAATACTGCATACAGTAATACAGCACTAATACTGCATACACTAATACAGCACTAATACTGCATACAGTAATACAGCACTAATACTGCATACAGTAATACAGCACTGTGACGAGACCAATCTCGCCACATTGCATTGGAGAAGCCTGGTTGCTCGCCTGCTGCCTTTGGACTATGGCCCCCTTTTAAAAGACTTTATTTGCCTGCAGAAAAGCTGTATTCGTGCTTTTCTGCCGGTTGTTCAGTAGTTTCAATCTACCGAACAACCGCACGAATGAATAAGGTCCACCTGCGGGCTGGGGTAGTGCCCGGCAATTAACCTCCCTGAAGCTGCGGTTAACCGCAGCTTAATTGATGAATGCTGGGTGGCCGCCATTCGTATCCCGAACACGAGGTCGCGGCCATTTTAAAACATACGAATGCAGAGCGGTGTTCGCCTCTATTTTCATGGAACTAAAATCGGACACAGTTTTGCGCGAACACTGCTGAAGCCACCAACCTCCCTTCTTGTTCGGTGGAAGTGCACGAACGGCCCGGTGTTCGGTATTTTTGTTCGAATGTATTATACCCCAGATAGGAATCCCATGGAGCCCATTCGTATGAAACTGACTGTGTAAAGACTTTAGCTCCATGGCGATTAAACTGTATTCATGTGGTCTGAGTGCCATTCACCTAATAATGTGCACTCAGACCTGAGCTATCTGGGGATATGTTACATGTCTGTGTTTTGTGTAATAAATGTTACATTATGTATTTTAAAGTATAATGCTGGTTTTGTGTCCCCACGTGTGTAATGGAGTTTTTCCTTTGTCTTGGGAGATAATTGAGTTACTTCCCAATTATCTCCCAGGGCAGAGGGGAGGAAGCCAGGATGCATTGTGGGAATATACCGTGACTGTGTGTCCTATTTGTCTGCTTGTCTGTCCCTTGTCACAGTCTCCCATTTGGTCCCCTAGGGGAGTGTCCACCAGGTGGGAGACCTGCATAAATACTGGGCAGGTAGCCCTCATTAAACAGACCACTGTTTGACCCTCAACACGGAGCTCTGTCTCGTCTTTGGGGGGATTTACTGTATGCTGCTAAGGACTGATTGCCAGGAGTGTAAGCCGCTTGGGAGCTTTTCCTGTTCGTCTGGTAGCAGCAATTCGTATGGTTCCTGTTCGTGTATTTGGAGTGCTATATTGGATGCCATTCGGGAGTTTGGAGCATTCACTTATTGGCGGTTCGTGTGTTTGGTGTTCTGCAGTAGCTGTGCCTGCATCTCTGAAAAGGGGGTCGATCGCCTAAACGTTTTTTTCCCCTTTTGTGCAAAATGGTCCGTTACAAGCACTAATACTGCATACACTAATACAGCACACATACTGCATACACTACACTGACACTCTGCATACACTAATACAGCACACACACTGCATACACTAATACAGCACTAATACTGCATACACTAATACAGCACTAATACTGCATACACTAATATAGCACTAATACTGCATACAC